TAGTATCTTTCGTCTTTTCTAATCAAACCTCCACCTAGGAATGACTTCAAAATGCAACTAACAATCACATTCATGCGCCAAAGCTGATACAACATACCAAAATTACAAAATGCTCTCTCCGTTCATTTTTACTTGGCATGTATATTAAAAATAAATTTTCTTTTTTACTTATCACTTTTACGCATATCAAGAAAATTTTTTTTTTTCCTGTTATACCCACTGTATTTATTACTCATTTCAAATCATTTTCTCAAACCTAATAAAATATGCATCAATTAATATGAGTATTACGGTAAATTATGCACTTTATTTATTATTTCTTAACAGCGTGTTTGGATGGCTGTTACATATTGTTTCATAATGTATTGTATCGTTTGATAAATACAATATTGGGATATATTGTATCGTTTGCTGTTGTCCCATGATATCACACACCAGCAATATGAAAAATAAACTTGCAGTATTATAAAAAAAACTATGATACGGAGTAAAATTTATTATATAAAAAGGTTTGGCAAATGATAAAATAAATTTATTTAATAATAATGAAGGGTGAGATGAGAGAAAAAGATAAAATAACGACGGAACCACACCAAATCGGTCGTTACATTAGGTGACACATTTCATCGTTATATAACGACGGATTTATTGATACGATACAATAAAGTTAAGTAAAAACCATAACAAACATCATATTTAATGTAACAATACGATACAATACAATAGGTAACAACCATCCAAACAAGCTGTAAGGGGCGTGAAAAGTCAAAACATGCCAAGTAAAAGTAAACAAAGGGAGTATTAAGTTGTTGAACTGTCTGTTTCGATGTCATATCATACTATATTATAAGTATGAAGACTTTTAGGCAAGATTGAATTACTAAAATGCCCATCAAAAGTTTGAACGACATTTTTGCCCTTCAAAGAATCACTATTTTAATAACAATAATATACAAAATAATAAATATATTTCATAATGAATAGTGCACTTTTAAGAATCATAGAAAAAGGCAACCCGTGAATGGTTAGTTTTTAGTTTTTACCAAGACCTTTGGTGTTCTGGCAAAGGTGTATCTAAGATAATTAATTTTCCTATGATAATGAATAATTACTAATGATGCCTTCCATATTGTAATGGATAGGAGTAATTATTGTTGAAAACAAAAGCAAGTCATCTTTATGGTTTTCTCACCCGTTGAAGAAAGCCATCAGTTTCACAATTAAATTACTAATGATGCCTTCCATATTGTAATGGATAGGAGTAATTATTGTTGAAAACAAAAGCAAGTCATCTTTATGGTTTTCTCACCCGTTGAAGAAAGCCATCAGTTTCACAATTAAATTACTAATGAATTATCTCATCGGCTGAAGAAATCCATTAATAACCAACTAAAGTATGATATAACTAGAGTTTGTTCAATTTAATTCCTACAACTAGCAATAATTCATTTAATAACTCAGTTAAAAAAAGAATAGACAAAACGACTAAATACTTAATTAGACCATTGAAGACAGATGTATTGGGTACCATTATATTTTGTTGACTCTTAAAATTCTGAGAACACTTTGAGATATTTAAATGTCACCAGAGATGATCAAAGAACAAGAACATTTTAGGATATTTGTAGATAGATAGAGACTTTGAAAAATATATTGTTGTTATCATAGAAGTTAGAGAATTTTTACCTTTTTAGAGTTGTGTGAAGTAAATCTATGATGATTCGCTAATATCAATTGCTCTATAACTGTAAGTGTATAATACAAAAAATCGCAATTCCCAATCGGATTTGTCTTTTGATATTTCTTGTGATTTTTCTTTAGTTCAAAATGTTTAGTGAAAAATAGGGAAGAAGCAAGTGATGTTGCCGGCAGATGAAGTAAACTAGATGCCTGTGTTGTATATGCCAGAAAAAAGTCGAAGGTTAATTTTTCTTATTCTATTTTCCTTCTCCGATCTTTCCTCAAAGTTTAGTAGCTTTTACTACACTATCTTTCAAGGAGTTGACTGATATTATTTGGGATAAAAACCAAAACTTCTGATAGAGTGAAAGACTGGATTTAAGCTACTGGAAATACAGTTGTTCCGGGTCTCGTGTACATGCATCCAAATTAAATTAAAGAGTTTATTATATTTTTTGTTATTTCCATCACCATAATTTTTATTTCCCTCTAATTTTAACATTGTTTTTCTTTCGCATGATTTTTATTTATTTTATCACTAGTTAGTGTGTGTATATATTCCTTTTGAAATTAAAATAACCATTAGATGCAACATGAAAATGAAGATTTTTTTAAACAAATCAACAATTATTTATATGTAGACGAATACTTGTAATGTTAGATGAAAATTACCACCTTCTAATCATGCACCATTACTTCAAGTCTTCAATAAACATACAAAATCATAATAAGAAGGGTAGATTTGAATTTATGTACGTACTTTTTTTCTTTTCTTTTATGATTCTTACTTCCTTGTGTAAGTAACTTTTACTTGCCAAATTTCACTACTGGTTAATTATAAGCAAGTTAAAGGTTGTTTGATGCTTCGCTATTTTAATAAAAAAACGAATATTAGGTTGCTTGTGTTGGTTTAGTTATGGTTTCATTTTTGGATAGAAATAGTTGGAGTTCTTTAGGATTTTTCTCTTTGATTTCGATCCTTCTCCAATTATTTCTTACCTCCCAGAACAAAGAAAAAATAATAATTCGGAAAGGAGAGAGAACCGACTGGGAAAAAACGTCAAATTTTCTAGAAGCTCAGCCTATGATTAGGTATGGCTGTACAGATTCACAAAAGTTCAGAGAAGTCGACCAATAAATCTTTACAATTTGGACTAGGCTTTAGTTGTATTAAGCGTATTAAGTAAATCCGTGTCAATGTGAGCAAGTTTACATCTTTGCCAAATGACATAATTTCGGATAACATTAAGGCAATTTTGGCTAGGGACATATGCTGAACTTAATGCTTTGAAGGTTGAAATGCAAGGATATGCTTCAATCAAACACTACTCCCACGTAAAAAATTCCGTAGAAAAATGTAAACTTACGTTCTAATAAATGGAGTAACAAATATCAACCATTTGTACTCATTAAGAATAGGAATAGAGATGATCATTTCATTTTTTGATATTAATAAGCTCAATGGTCATTCTTTTCATCTTCCTAACCTCAAGATGAATTCAAGATATAAAAGACCTCGCAAAGTACTCCTTGAACACTTAAAATTAGATCTTCCATCATCGAGAATGTTAGGTCTTATAAGCTTGAAATGTCCCCCTTTTTTATGAGTTCTATTAGTCTCTGTAGCAAAAGCTATTATCTTCTTGCTTTTACTTATTTTCTAGATATTAGTTAACTTGTATATGTTCATACCTGAAGGTGTCAACAAGTAATTATTATTTGTTATTTGTGTAACTTTTCCTCAAGTCCCGATTAATGTTCTTTAAATTTTGATCCTTCACCGAATAATATGTATATATATCATAAGTAATTTTGTTTTTTAATTTAGGATTACGTCAAATTGATTTAATTTACTACTATGCTTAATGATGCATGGAAGCTAGATATATATGTGTTCTTTATGTATTACAACATATAGAAACCTTTTGAAGTCAAGCATAGGTCATTTGAATAGCAAATATCCTAATTTCAAAATGTTATTAATTAGAAAATCTATGCATTTTTTGCTTATGCAACAATATAATTTTATTTAGTATAGTTCAATTTTGTTTTCTGCTGGGAATTACTGACTCTTGAGTCCAAGAGTTAGTGTGTAAATTGATATACTTGGTTAAATAAAGATAATTAATTAATTTTTCCCCTTAAATTTTGTCTTTCCCAATTCCATTTGCTTGTTTCGAAGGTAAAACCTCTTCAAAAAGTCTGATTGTATAAGAAAGAATTTAATATGAGTAATATGAGGTGAATTCAGTGCATTAACTAAAATTAGAAGTGGATTAATATCCCGCGGTTAATAGTTATATCTGTCTAGAATGCTCTCTATGAAGTGTTCGAAACTTTAAACAAAAGGAATTAGAAATGAATAGTCCTAATTTTACATGGAGTTTGTTGATAAAATAGATGAGCATTGGAAGAAGAGATCAAAATGAGTTGCGTTGGTAGGATAGATTATTTGAAAGAATAATAATAATAATACTCCCTTCTTTCATTTTTAGTTGTCCACTATTGACTTTGCAAACTCCTTAAGAAATACTACAAATAAAGTGCATAATTTACCATTATACCCATATTAATTGGTGTATAGTCTTAATGGATTTGAGAAAATAATTTGGAATGAGTAATTAATGCTGAAGGACAAAACAAGAAAAATAAATTATTTTTCTCGTGATATGCGAAAAGTGACAAGCAAAAATAAAAATTTATTTTTAGAATACTTGACAACTAAATAGACGGATGGAGTAATAAATAAGGATAAAACATGCTAAACTTATTGGTATCCGTTTTGGGTTTAATAGAGTCAAGCACAAAACTACAGTATGTAATTTCTATGTTTTTTTTCTATTCTTTTTCGAATACCAGCATCAACCAATTACTTTGATATCTTTTAAAAGGTTTCCTTGCTCATATGTAAGCGACACTTATGAAAATGGTATTAAAAAGTTCCTATAGCTATTATTATTTCTATATTTCCAAAATTCTATAGGCTTGTAATATTCAAGCTTATTTTTTCTCAAAGTATAATGGTTATAAAAGGTTTGAAATAGAAATTGTTGATCATTTTCAATAAATGAAAAATATATTTTTTCCTTTTAATTTTTATTTTGCAACTACAAACATTTTAAAGTAATTTTTAGTAATATACAAAAAAAATTAATTATTTATATGAAATCACGCGAAACGTGCGTGCCGAGAAACTAGTATACTAAATATACAATCATATAAAAAGACGTATATAATAATGTACAAATTAAAGAATTATTAAAGTCAACGCTATTACCATTTTGTGCAATGTTCTTGATCTGAATATAAAGAAAGTCTGATCAAGTCAGCTTCTGTCCTCTCCTCTTCTTCTCCTTTTCTTGTGTGACAAACCAAAAAACAACTAATATTCTGATAGAGAGACGCTAAGATGTTTTGCAAAGAAGCCATTGAAGCTCTAGAATTGATGAAAGATCAATGGAGATTGTCCTTGACAGATGCAATAGTGGCTGATATCAATTTCCTCATTATGGAGCTCAAGTTTCTGGACATTTTCCTGAGGCTGCAGAGCTTTACTACTGACAGCAACTTGCTGGATGTTTCCGAACACATCCGAGCTATGGTTAGCGTTGTAGGATCGGACCTCAAAAGTCTATTCTCCGCAGGAATGGTGCCACCTGATCAAAAATTTGATCTCACTTTGTCTGAGGTGCAAGAAAAGATCCGGATTTGTAAGTCGGAAATCAAAGCTCAATACTCTTATCCTCAGGTAGTAAATATTTCTGATGCTAGTCCCACGTCTATAGCAAAACTCATTGGTGATGTAATAGAGACTATAAATTATGTGGTGAGCACACCTTTGGCTTCTTCCTTATCTATTAGTCCACAAATTCGGGAGCTCTTTTGCGCATTGAGTTCACCACAATCTCTCTGTTACATGCTTGCTGTCAGAAAATTACAAGACTCTAGCCAAATGACTTTCTTCACTCATGCTATAGCTGTGACTTGTCATGCAGCAATGATTATCTTCTTGCATTTTCCTGAGCATAACAAGGTTAATCAGGAAACTGATATCAATTCCTTGCTTACTGATTTCGCATTGAAGAGAATTTTTCCCATTCAGCCATGTGTCCGCCGTATCTATGTTGAACTCCTCCAATCTTTTATGTCCGGACCACAATTAACCTGGCGTCACGCTGTCCTAGCTAAAATGGAAACAATGTTTACCCTTTTTCTCAAAACCAATCTGCTGATGTTACAGTTCTCTTATAGATATGGCTTGATAGTTCCGTTGGAGGATCAAAATCAAATGGACTACTTTTTCGAGATGTTGGACTATTTGGGAACATATCTTGAGGATTTGCCACCACAGGGCTTTGGATCTAAGCTGAGAGAAATAGATAATTTGATGGTCAATGCAGCACTTTTCATTTTCTCGTTATATGGTAACGAGGAAGACGTGGCATCTGGAGAAGTAAATCAAGAGGCCACCCTTGATTTGCCTGGCTTGATTCAGCGTATCAGCGCTTTGACTTACCAAATCGTTCAAATGTCATTTCAATCGATTTTACCTAGGATTGATGGTCTTGGCTTTGTTGATTTCCTTCTGGTCAACATGAAGGAGTTCCTTAACCAGTCTGCTGATACACTTCCTTCTGCCAAGAGCCAACTTGAAGCTGTGCTGAAGTATCTTGAATTTTTGCATCCTTTTTTGAGGGATGTTGCAGCAGAAAAATGTATTAATCATGATAGACTGCAACATCTTGCCACAGTGGTCATTGGCAAGGCATATGAAATAGAATATATAGTTGATTGTTTCGTGACTAAAGATGTTCCTGCCTGGTTTCTTACACCATGGCTTTCGGATCTCATTGTGGAGATTGAGTTTCTTAAGGCAGAGGTCGAAAAGATTAAGGAGGACAAGGCGTGTGACGCACCAATGGAAAACATCACCAATGCTTCCAATGTTGCTACATCATCACAATCGGCCAGTATGCCAAGCACAACTGAAGAAATGGTGGGATTCGAGGACGTGGTGCAAACATTAAGAAACCAACTTGTTGGAGGAACATCACAACTTGATGTTGTCTCAGTTGTTGGCACTTTTGGACAAGGTAAAACAACAGTTGCCAAAAAGCTATTCTATGACGAATCAATTGCCTCTCTGTTTGATGTTCATGCAAAATGTTTTCTTCCAGTTGTATATTTACGTAGAGATTTGTTGGTTGCTATTCTGAGTGATGTGGTTGACAAGAAAACTGATCTTAGTGAAGTCCCTGAAGATGAATTAGCTGACAAGTTGCACAAAATATTGTTGCAAAGGAAATACCTTATCCTCGTTGATGATGTTCGTGAAACTGTAGTGTTGGACTTTTTAGAGTCGTGCTTTCCGGATGCCAACAATGGAAGCAGAATTATTCTAACAACAGAGTTAGACGAAGTTGCTAATTATGCTAGACGTGTTAGTTCTCCCTATCGTCTTCGCTTGTTTTCTGATGAAGAAATCTGGATGTTGTTACAGAATAAGGTTTTCCTCCGACAAAGTTGCCCACCGTATATTAGAGATGTTGGACAAAAACTAGTAAAAACCTGTCCCGGGCTACCCCTTGCGGTTGTTATGCTGGCCAATGCTCTTGCAAAACTGGCGAAGAATGGGGATCACGTGAACTTCTCTGAAGAGGCGGTGAAAGAGTTCAATGAAATTCTGGAGAACCAGAGATCTTCTTATGTTAATGTATCATCACAAATGGCCAGTACTCCAAGGATAACTGAAGAAATAACAGATGAAATGGTAGGTTTCGATGATGTACTGCAAACCTTAAGAGATCAACTTGTTAGAGTAACACCAAGAGAGCTTGATATTATCTCGATTGTTGGCACTCTTGGACAAGGTAAAACAACAGTTGCTAACAAACTATTCACTGACGAATTAGTTGTCTCTTTGTTCGATGTTCGTGCAAAATGTTTTGTTCCTGCTGCTTTTCAACGCAGAGAGTTATTAGTTGCTATTCTGAGGAATCTTGTTGAAAAGACAATTGATCTTAGTGAAGCGAGAGAAGATGAATTAGCTGATGAATTGCACAAACTTCTATTGCCAAAGAGGTATCTTCTCCTCATTGATAATGTTAATGACTCTGTAGCATGGGATTATCTAAGGTCATGCTTTCCAGATGCCAACAATGGAAGCAGAATTCTTCTAACAACTCGTCTAGATGAAGTTGCTACTAAGGCTAGACGTGTTAGTTCACCCCATTATCTGCGCTTGTTTACTGATGAAGAAAGCTGGACGCTGTTACAAAATAAGGCGTTCCCCCGACAAAGTTGCCCGCCAAATTTTAGACCTCTTGCAGAACAATTAGCCAAACGGTGTGAAGGGTCGCCTGTTCAAGTTGTTGTGCTGGCTGGTGTTCTTGCAAAAATGACGACAAAAGAGTTGGAACTACTGGCAGAAGGGGATAAAGGTGTTCACATGGTCTTCATTAAAGAGGTGGAGAAAAAGGCCAGGGAAGCTACGTTAGACCAGGCGCGTGGGTCACGACCAAAAAGCTTTAGAAATGCTTCCCAAGGCCATATATCATCTCAACTGGATTGGACTACAGCTGAAGATATGGTGGGGTTCAAGGACGTCATGCGAACAATAACAAACCTACTTGTTAGAGGAACATCACAAAGAGATGTCATTTCAATTGTTGGAATGGCTGGACAAGGTAAAACAACAATTGCTAACAAACTATTCATTGATGAATCAGTTGTTCTACAATTTGATGTTCGTGCAAAATGTTATGTTTCTCAAGTGTACAACCGTCGAGAGGTGTTGGTTTCTATTCTGAGTGATGTGGTCGACAAGCCAACTGATCTTAGTGAAGTGCCTGAAGATGAATTAGCTGATAAGTTGCGCAGACTATTATTGTCAAAGAGATATCTTATCCTCATTGATGATGTCTGGGAAACTAGAGCATGGGATGAGTTACAGACATGTTTTCCGGATACCAACAACAGTAGCAGAATTATGCTGACAACCCGGCTAGAGAAGGTTGCTACCTATGCTAGCTGTGTTAGTTCTCTTCATCATCTTCGCTTGTTTTCTGAAGATGAAAGCTGGACGTTGTTACAGAAAAAGGTGTTTCTTCAACAAAGTTGTCCACCGGATCTTGAAGGTGTTGGACAGGAAATAGCAAAAAAGTGTGGAAGGTTACCTCTTTCAATTGTTTTGGTAGCTGGTGTTCTTGCAAGTATGACAAAGAAAGAGCAGTGGGAACAAGTGGCAGATGGTTTAGGTTCACATATTCGTGGCGACTCCAAGCACATCATACAATTCAGTTACAAGAATTTGCCCCATTATCTTAAACCTTGCTTTCTGTATTTTGGAGCATTCTTGGAGGACAAAGAGATTCAGATCTCAAAGTTAATGAAGTTATGGATGGCGGAGGGTTTGGTAGTAAAACAAAAGGAAAGATGCTTGGCTGATATAGCAGAAGATTACTTAGAGGATCTTATTAGAAGAAATATGGTGATGGCCACCAAGAATAGATATCTTGGCAAAGTAAAAGCATGTCGTATCCATGACCTGTTGCTTGAATTTTGCAAGGAAAAGGCAAAGGACGAGAAGTTTCTACTATGGATATATAGGTATATATTCAATTTCTCTTTTTACTTTCTTACTGAATCAATTTTACTTTGTTTTGATTCTGTTTCTTCCTATGGACAGGGATCAAGATGCAAATTCTGCCGAAGTGTTGTCTCGAATGCTTGTACAGCGTCGTATATCCATTTATTCAAAACAACACAATCTTGTTGAAAGGAGTCCATCTTGCTCCAATGTCCATTCCATATTATTCAGGAAGGTTGGTGATGATGTTATCCCCTCAGTCGACAATCAGGTCTCATTTGCTTTTCACAGCTTTAAGTGTCTTAGAGTGTTAGATCTGGAGTTTGTCACTGTTGATTCTTTCCCAACTGAATTATCTCAACTGAGGTACCTTGCACTTAGAACTTTTGAGGAATCTATTCCATCATCTATAGCCAATCTCCGGAATCTTGAAACACTTATGGTTAAAGGGCTTGGAAGTGAACTTTCATTGCCACACTCACTGTGTAAGATGGTTAAGATAAGACATCTACATTTAAACGACCGTGCCTCCTTCAATTTGCAAAACATAAAAGTATTCCTAGAGGATCCCTCGGAATTAGGTAATTTGGAGACTTTTTCCACTCCTGCTTTTTCATCCGGTGAGGATGTGGAGAAGGTATTGAGTAAGACCCCTAATATTCGAAACCTGAGATGCATATTTTCAGGATCATGGGGTTATTCTGAGGAACAACAAAAGGACTGCAATCAGTTCCCAAGATTACAGCACTTAACCAAGCTTGAATCACTCAAGGTGTTTTGTTTCCACAAGCCAGAGCGATCACCTTGTGTATTCAATTTCCCGTCAGATCTTAAGAAGCTGACACTTTGTGGTTTTGGATTGCCATGGAGTGAAATTTCAGCCATCTCAACACTTCCTAACCTTGTGATACTCAAGCTACAATCCGATGCCTTTTGTGGCGAAGAATGGGAAGTAAGTGATGAGCAATTCTCCCAACTAAAAGTGCTGAAGCTAGAAAATATTTCCTTTGCGTGTTGGAGTGTCTCAGAGGATGCTTTCTCTAACCTTGAGCAACTGGTTCTGCATAGTTGTGATTGTCTTGTCGAAATCCCTACTGAATTTGGTTACTTCACTTGCCTACAATCCATCGAGGTAAAGTCGTGCCAGGAATCTGTTGCAAATTCAGCTAGGAATGTCGAGGAAATTCAGGTCGAAGAAATGCAAAATAATGGCTTCACGCTTTTTATCTACTAATGAAATTTTCTCTGAGATATCACATGAGATCACTTGTTTCATGGATTCTTCTTTTATCACTCTCTCAAGACTCTTAACGTCCAGTAAGGCAAGCAATTCAAAATGATTTATCAAGAGCAGCAGCAGCCGGTCCCTCATTTATCGAGATTATTAAGAATCTCTTTTGCTCTATACTTGTCTTAATTTTTTTTTTTAATATTATGTGGTCTCTATTACTCTGGTTGATTCCTTCATATAATTTGTAAGACCTGATATTGCTGAATATGCATGATTGACATTTGAACACATACTCTTTTGGAGAAAATGTACTTTCAGTTGTTTTGAACACGTACACTTAAGAAATCCATTTGGCTATCTTGAAGTGAATAACTTCACTGATTATCTTCCTTCTCTGTTGGAAAGTATAAGAATCTTGAGACTCTTGACCTTTCCTTTAATATCAATTTGTTTACAATGCGAGCATCTCAGATGACCTTTCAGCTTAAATTTTTTGGAGTCTTGTTTTTCAAGAATTCGCGGTGTGACACATTATTTCTATGTGTGGAGCATTTATGTGGCAAATTATATCTTCTATGAAGGCTGCTTAAGTGAGAAGAATGTTAAATCACAAGTAATAGTATAATATACGAAGGGCAGAAGCAGTCAACTGATCCACCTTCTCACTCTTCATCATAATCTTGTCTTCTGTGCATTGTTGATTTAATGTAGTTGGAAGCTTAGATATAAAATCAAAATACTCAATAGGATAAGAAATTCAATACTTACTTCATACTAGTCTTATTGGTTGATCTTCTCAATTGTGAGGTAAAAAAAAAGAACTTGATTGAGCAATGAATCTTCTAGAACTGATGAAAAGCTGTAGGAATTTAATCTCAATCCTGTAGACTCACAAAAGAAGACTAATCTCCTAAGCCTTTTGAAAGTTGCACTTGAAGTAGAAAATCGAATTCAAAGAGAAATATCAAGAGACTTGTGCTGATAACATATTACAAAATGGTAGAAATTGTTATGTCGAGGAAGAGGCAAACCCGAAAATAAAGAAGATAAAGAACACCAAATTTTAACGTGGAAAACCCTTCAAATCGAAGGTAAAAACCACGGGATCACAAAGATCCAAAAAACTCCACTATAACAATAAGAGAGTTACAAAAGTTCTCCAAATTGGCTACACAACAAGTGTCAAACACGGAGCAACAATAGCAATAAGAGCAACAACTAATCAATTGAAGAAAGAGTATAATCCACAAAAACGAAGCTGCTGTTCGAGGCTCGAAATAAGATACTACAAGCCACCAAATCCGATCTCTACCGTTCAAATCTAAGACCAAGATGTTACGAACACTCAGTCACAATTTCAGCCCGATCCAACGGTTATCAAATTGGCAAACATAATTTGAAGTTGACTGGTCGGAATAAAAATCTGCAGCAAAACAAATATTTTTCTTCTCTCTTCTTTCTTGATGAAAGCTCTCTCAAAAACCACTCTTATGTGCTTAAGTATTTCAAAGACTTGTATCAAAGAGCATAGAATAATTCTTCAAGGTTGTATAATTTATAGATCATGAGTGGTGCTTTCTCTTAAAGCCAAAACCCACTCAAAATAGGAATAAACCGAATCCAATTCCAAATAGGAATGGAAACCAAAAGAGAATAGGATTAGGCCATTGGGCCTTTGGCTGGACAACATGGGCATGTGCCCAACAAACTCCCCCTCCAGCCAAGGGGATAAATGTGTCTTCAAGTAGAGGAACTATTGACAGGCTTCATGCCTGCCAATTTTCTACAAAATTCATGTTTATCTGCAACTACCGCCTTTGTCAGCATATCCGAAGGATTTTCATCAGTGTGTATCTTCTCAACCTCAAATAATTTCTCTTCCACGACCATTCTTATCCAATGATACTTTCTATTTATATGTTTGGTCTTAGAATGAAAAGTGGAGTGCTTGGTGAGACAGATAGCACTCTGATTATCACAAAATAAGATGTACCTTGGCTGCTCAAAGTCAAGATCATTAATAAACTCCTTCATCCATAATAGTTCTTTGGCACCTTCTGTGACAGCAATATATTCGACTTCTGTGGTGGATAGAGCTATGCACTTCTGTAGTCTAGATTGCCAAGAAACAGCTCCCCCTGCAAAAGTAATCAAATAACCGGAAGTGGATCTTGAATTATCAAGATTGCCTCCTAAATCAGAGCCTATGTAACAAACAAGTTCAGGCTTGCCATTGCCAAAGCACAACTTTAAATCTGCAATACCTTTCAAATACCTTAATATCCATTTTACTATATCCCAATGTTCTTTTCCAGGATTAGAAAGGAATATACTAACAGTACCAACGACATGTGCAATATCTGGTCTAGTGCAAACCATAGCATACATCAAGCTACCAACGATAGAAGAGTAAGGAATACGGGACATCTCCTTTTTCTCTTCATCAGTAGATGGACTCTAACTAATACTCAATTTGAAGTGTTTAGCAAGAGGAGTACTAACCACTTTTGCATCTGTCATATTGAACCTCTTGAGTACCTTCTCAATGTATTGCTTTTGGGATAGAAATAACTTATTTCTATCTCTGTGTCGGTGGATTTGAATGCCTAAGATTTTCTTTGCTGGCCCCAAGTCCTTCATCGCAAACGATTTACTCAACTGCTTCTTAAGGACGGCAATTCTGGATTTATTCTTGCCAACAATAAGCATGTCGTCCACATAAAGCAATAAAATAATAAAATCATCATCAGAGAACTTCTGGAAGAATACACAGTGGTCTGAAGAAGTTTTCTTGTACCCTTGTTCTTCTATGACAGATTCAAACTTCAAATACCATTGCCTTGGAGCTTGTTTTAATCCATACAGGCTCTTTTTTAATTTGTAGACATAATTTTCTTTTCCCTTAGTTACAAAGCCCTCAGGTTGCTCCATATAAATATCCTCATCTAAATCACCATGGAGAAAAATTGTCTTGACATCCATCTGCTCAACCTCTAAATCTAGACTTGCAGCTAAACCTAGAACCACACGAATAGAAGACATCTTCACAATAGGGGAGCAAAATTCATCAAAGTCAACTCCCTTCTTCTGGCCAAAACATTTAGCAACTAACCTCGCCTTGTATCTAGGCGCAGAGGTATGGTTATCTTGCTTTATTCTGAATATCCATTTGTTTCTCCAAATGGATGCCTTAATATAGTTTCTCCAAACATTATAATTGTTACCTCGCCTTTATTCCTTAATTATACAAGGCGAGGTAACCATTTGTTCCTACAAGAAAAAAGACTAGCCAAATATAGGAGAATTATAATTTCCTTCTACAAAAAGGAAAACCCAATTAAGGTAATTATATTGCCCTTTCCTTCAACAAATAGGAAAACCAAATATGGTAAGAAAATTATCGCAAACACCTAACAATTCTCCCCCTTGGCCGAAATTTTCTGACAAAATAAACTTGATCCACCTTCTTCACATAGCCTTCAACAGGTTGCATCTCCAAATCTCCACCACAAAGTTTGTCTCAACGTGTGTAGCACACCGGTCAAATTTCTCAGACAAAAATCACTCTTATCGTCAAATATGTTGCGGCTAGAACTGAACCCGCCAAGATGAACCTGTCTTGAACCTTGCTCTGATACCACTTGTTAGATAAAGCTCTCTTACCTTTCGGAAATTTCACTAACTCATATGTGCCATTCTCATGGAGTGACTTCATCTCATCTTCCATCGCTTCGATCCACTGATCTTTATGAGTATCTTGCATGGCTTCATCATAATTCTCAGGTTCTCCTATGTCAGTCAAAAGTACATACTCTTCAGGAGGATAGCGCATGGATTTTTGCTTCTCCCTTGTAGANAGAGCCTTGGTTAATTATCCGGGTTGTTACGGAATGGAGGCGAATATGAGCAAGATGGTATGTTTAAATGGGAGAAATTATAATGTTTGGAGAAGCTAAAGCAAGATACAAGGCGAGGTAACCATAATTTGGAGAAACAAGAAAAATTTGCCCAATTAAGGTAATTATATTCGTCTCCAAACATTTGTAGAAGGAAATGGATAAATTTGGCTATAATGTTGAAGGAAAGGGCAATATAATTACCTTAATTGAGTTTTCCTTTTTGTAGAAGGAAATTATAATTCTCATATACTTGGCTAATCCTTTTTCTTGTAGGAAAAGGTTTGGAGTTCTATAAATTGAGGATCCTTCTTTCTCATTCAGTAGCATCCACAATGTAGCCATAGGGGCTTGAGAGTAGTGTTTAGGGGGAGAACTTTTCGGGACAAGTGTTAGTGTGTCACTTGTGTTTGCCTCTTCGTGAGGTTGTTCTCTCGATATTTTGTACTCTTTTTTATATAGTGGATTGCTCATCTCCGTTGTGGACGTAAGTCAGTTGACCGAACCACATTAAATGTTTGTGTCTCTTTTGGTATATGTCTTTTTGTTGTATGATTTATCGTCGCTCAAGGTTTGCTTTGCTAGCTTCTGTATGACACCTGATTTTTACGGTCCTAACAAGTGGTATCAAAATGAACCTGTCTTGAACCTTGCTCTGATACCACTTGTTAGGACCGTAAAAATCAGGTGTCATACGGAAGCTAGCAAAACAAACCTTGAGCGACGATAAATCATACAACAAAGGAGAAATATACCAAAAGAGACACACATGGTTTGGTCAACTGACCTACGTCCACCGCGGAGATGAGCAATCCACTATATAAAAAGAGAGTACAAAATATCGAGAGAACAACCTCACGAAGAGGCAAACACAAGTGACACACTAACACTTGTCCCGAAAAGTTCTCCCCCTAAACACTACTCTCAAGCCCCTATGGCTACATTGTGGATGCTGCTGAATGAGAAGGACTGATCCTCAATTTATAGAACTCCAAACCTTTTCCTACAAGAAAAAAGACTAACCAAATATAGGAGAATTATAATTTCCTTCTACAAAAAGGAAAACCCAATTAAGGTAATTATATTGCCCTTTCCTTCAACAAATAGGAAAATCAAATATGGTAAGAAAATTATGGCAAACACCTAACAGAAATTGGCAGCGAAATAACGGAAATTCTAGCAGAATTAGACGGTTCAAGAGAAATATCATTGCATCGGTAGTGTCACTCTATATTTTCATGTTCTGACGAGGCCATGATGAGCAGGGGCTTAGCTACATAGTTGGTTGTGTGTTCGACCGAACTCAGGAGCTTTTGTTCAAATCCTATATTTGTATAAGAAATTCAATGAAAATGTACAAATTATTATTTCAGAACCCAACAACTTAGAAGGATTGTTACCCCGAACCCATAAGGTTCAAATCCTAGCTTCGCCTCCGATGATAAGACCTATTTATAGCAA